GGGAAGTGGGGACAAATGTCACTTAGTCTATTTCTCAGAATCTAAATTTTAATAAGAAAAGTTTTCCCAGTCCCCCAGTTTTTGGAAGAAGGGCCCTTCCTGAATAGAGGAGGAAGGGATTCCTTCATGCTGCACGTTTGTCAAGTTCTGTAAAGTGCATCCCAGTGAACATGGAAGCTCCCAAAGTGCCCGTTGCCAACTTCAAAACCACAGTTTGTAATGCCCTCTGTATTTCCTTCCACATCCTCGTTTGCCTAGAGCCTATCACTCCAAAATACATCCAAAAAAGGCATTTTGGGACTTCTCATTCTAAATCTGTTGTCAGGTGATCCAGACTCCTGATGTTTGATTTGGGATCTGATGGCTCTAAAAGGAGCTGCACTTCCTCTTTTATAATGTCAGTTTTCAGATTAAGAAACCTGCATCTTAATTTTTTTTCCCTCTAAAAGTCAGGGTAGGTTTGTGAAGAGTTGTTAAACAACATGCTAAATGTGAAAGTGTCCACCCTCACTCTAAACTTTTCGCTCTACAAGTATGAAATGAAGATTCTTCAGTTTTATAGCAACTTTTACGTTTTGGTAGTCCATGAAGGGAGGGGAGTTTGACAGTTGTTGTAAAATGTTGCAGATTGTAGCCCATGTCCTGCCTAAATTACCATGATTGTTTATGAAAAGTACCTTTAATAAAGCTGGATACGGTTTGGCTTGGACTGTTCTTAATGCCTTTCTAATTCCTCTTGCCTTTATTTCATCTCTTAACATGGCTGATTGAATACTTGCCGCGTACGTGGATGCATTTGTATTTAGGTGCTGTTTTGCTGATGGCCAAGAATTTGTTTTAAGCATCTGAATTCAGATAATTAATTCACAAGTGAAAAGTGAGATTTCCTTACCTAAAAACTAGATCGCTGCAGGATGATTTGAAACTCTTGGCTTACTAGGAGGCCCAACACAGCATGTAAGAGACTCCACTGAGATAAACTATCTTCATTACTGTCTAAAACGTGGTGCTGCACAAAAGGAGGAAGAATACAGTAATCTCGCAGTCACTGCAGAGAAAAATAAATTCTGGTAAGCTTTTCTTGGTAGTGAAACCAGAACTAGCTCCATAAAACTGATTATGTGTTAGATTTCTGCACTTGAGCTTGAATATTGTTGCTTCTGCTAATCAAATACAGACTTTTCTGTGGTAGTAACTAAGCAGGAAACAAGATTTATTTGAGTAAAAATGCACCATTTTTATAGTCACTGCTTACACTGTAGAGCAGAGTCAAACCCAAAACCCTGATGTGTAAATGTCTCCTTCAGTAACTTTCTCAGGTGGAATATTTTTTGCATCCTCTGGCTTTCCCTGGGATTTCAGTGTCTCGATTAAGCTCAGTGACCTGTTTCAACCTGTGCTGTTTTCAGAGGGAATCCAATGAAAACGAACAGGGCAGAGTTTGACATTAAGAAGTTTTCAGTGTCTGAAGTGCTAGAAGTATTCTGGAAGAGTGGCTGGACGAACGGAAAACAGCCAGTTTTGAAGTGTACGGATACAAACTACTCTCTCCCATTATCATGAGCTGGTACGCCTTACATCTAGCAAATGTAAGAAAAATAACGTTTAATAATCTTGTATGTACCCCACCCAGAAGCAGCAGCTTAGAAACAGCCAACAAAAATACTGACAACTTGAGCAACCAAGCAGTAGGATGCAGCTGCTGAAGGGCTGCAGCTCCCCGGGAATGGGAGGAAGAGGTGGTGAACTGCTGCAGGGCGTTACATGCAGCTTGTCAGAAACCCTGGGACATCCCTGGGGGGCAAAGCAGAAAGTGAGTCAGGGATTTGCAAGAAAAAAGGCTGTTTGGGTACCCTGCCGTGGCTCTGCCTTGTCCTGCCAAGGGGTGGTGGTTGTAGGGACCTGAGGGAGAGGGTGCTGGCAGGTTCGAATTTGGGATTTCCCAATCGGTGAAGGTTCAGGTGCCAGGGGGAGGTGAGCCCTGAGGCTGTGGAACGTTCTGAGACACTGTCACAACCCAGGTGATGCTGTAAGTGCTCTCTGGGTGGCGAAATGGGGATTTCCTCCGCTAATAATGGAATTCTTGTTACATTAAAATGAGATTTTAACTAAATGTTTTCAAATCAGAAACTGAAATAGCTTGCTTTGCTTTTGTAGAGCCTTTTGTTGCTGGGCTCCTGCAAAGAGAAGGAGCAGCTCCAAGTGAGCTGGGTTCTGAGCGGGGCTGCCAGCTGGGCTGCTGTGGTGTTCTCTGCGAACATCTTTGTGGTTGGAAGGTCTCTTCATCCCCTAGTCATGAAATAAAGCGCCGCTAATAAAGCGTAATTGCAGGGTTGCTTTTTGTTGAAGAACTTCCTGTGTAACTATTACCTGATCTTTTCAATACCTAGAAGTCTAAACTGTTGCTGTCCTGTGTGCTACCGTACAGGACAATTTTCTCCAGCTGAGCAGGAAAATGATTATTTTATGTGGTAACTGCCACTTAAGTTTCTCTGCAGTTACTCAGCCGTGCTATCTTAGGCTAACCAGTGAACTTCCAAACCTCACTACATCTCAGCTGTACTGAATCGACTGCCTTAATGTCTTTCCCACACACGTTACCTCATGCTGATACCATAATACACTTTGAAAGTATTGACGCTTTCATTTTTGCTATAAAACTCCTCTATTTTCCTTTATCCTGGTCCGGAATCTACTTGCTGATCAGAACATCCCCTCTCCTCCGTGCCTGTAAAAGTGGTGAGAGAAGTGGAACCCCCCTGGGTGAGCTGCGCTGGGGCTCGGTGAGGGCTCTGCCCGTCTCCTCTCCACAGCTTCAGCCACACTGCTGCTGCTGCAGGATCTGAACCTCTTGCTACATCTCGGGTGTTTCCCACTGGACGTGCCCTCGTGCTGGAGTTACTGGGCTTGACTTGACATGCAGGGCTCATCTATTTCTCCTTAAGCAAATAGAGGGTAAGGGATGCTAAAGACAGTAAATCCAACTAATTAGCTCTGTAAATTAAAAGCTAAAAAGCAAGCAATGCTGTGCTGCAATCCGTGCGTGGTTAGTGGTTAGAACAGCCACAAATCTGCATCTCCAGCTGCCAGAACGCCTTAAGCTAAAAATAAGTTTTTCTGTTAAATCGTAATCATTTTACATGGAAAATTGTCTCTATGTATCGTCTGGGAATGTGATTTATGCTGCTGGGTGCATTTAAAAAGCTGGCCTGTCAGGTGGTCTTTGCATTAACATGTGTTTTGTCCTATTTCGACTTAGAAAAACGGGAGCCCACCAGTGTGATGGGAACAAAGCTAACGTGAAAAGCTACCCAGTGATCTGTTGGAGGGTACCGGTGCTATGTGGTAATGTGCAATTATTTTCCAACTTAAAAGGCAGAGAGCATCCTATTTTAAATCCAGCTGAGGATTTGAGCATTAAAAAAAACCTCCTGGGAACACACAACAACAGTTCCCGCTTCCAGCTGATGATGAGGAAAGACCGCGGATTGCAGTAATTTTAGGTAAAAATAGAAGAACTAGGTGTAGAGACAAACAGTACTGGCAGAACTCGGTTGTGTTCCTGCACTTTGCTCAAACATCCTACCTGGGAATTTGTCTGTTGTAACAGATGTCATCTTCCATTTTTTGTCCACTATTCTTCAATATTTCTCAAATCTTGGTAGTCTTGAGGACCTGCAATGACATTTTGGGAGGGTAAGTAATCTGGCACCTGGGTAACGTTTGGCCAGCTGTGTTACTTCAGTTTAGGTGGTTACTGGGTGTCTGGAAAGCTGGGCTGGGCTGTTGGGCAGTGCTGGCTACACTGTCCTTAAAATAAAACACGAAAGCATTTTGTCTTTCTGCTAATTACCCCAGTTCTGAACATTCTGTCAATTTACATGATAATTTTTCTTGTTCTGCTGACTGAGGCCTTTCCCACCTTCATTTTTTTCCGTTGTTTTACAGAAGAACTGGCACAAGAGATACCCAGTGACCCAGCAGCCCGATGTGATACGCTGGGAGAATCTTGCTCCGAGTTTCAGCGACTTGTGTGCGACAGGGAACAGCCACAGCCAGGATCCAGCAAGCCACCACCGACAATAGAAAGGCAAATGAGTAGGTTCAGTGTTCCTTATCAGGCCTTGAAGAAGT